GGAGTCTCTGGGTATAAGAAATCAATAACCTCATTATAGGTCATGTCTAACGGGCCTGTCAACGGACAATGTTTTAACAATCTTGACAAACCTGCCGCCCTCCCAAGGAAGACACTATCCAGAGAGAGAACTAACGAAGAATTTCCCTCCCCATGACTGCAGTTGACTATCTAAAAACAGAAGGGTCAGATGGAAAACTAGAATCCAAAAAATCTAAATCTAATGATGGTGATTTATCAGGAATTGATAGAATCCCATAAAGTCTGTAAATTATGGACCCAATGATAACAAAAACTTGACCATAGGATGATCAAGCCATGTTTAATATTAAACAACTGTCCTCTCTCAGACAGAGAGACCGGGACGGCGGAGGATGCACTCACAAAAGGAGCAACTTCCGGATCATTGTTTCTAAGTGTTCAAAACTCCAGTAACAGGAAACCGGCAAAACAATATGCCACTATACAATTCCTGTTTTCAGGACTCATTCTCACTCTATAATTAGTTAAGGCAAATCCTTCTTTAGGAAATCATTGTATTGAGACATTTTCAAGACAACAATCTTGTTCCTTTTATGTTTTCTTTAAAAAAAGCTTAACTAATGGAATAAATAGGTGTTTATCTATTAATGGAGCGGGTCTGAAACGTATCTTTAATCCTCTTTAGCCCGAGGAAAAAGACAGGTTACACATCTCCCGTCCTATTGTATATTTAGCTACAGACCTTATTTCTCCAACATAAGAAGACTTTCCTAGAAGAGGAAATAGAAATTCCAAGATGAATAGCCCCCAATCCGAAGATAGATTTTAACCTCTATGTTGACGAAGATGACTGAGTACTATCAAACAAAGAAAGAATATTTTGACCAAACAGATGAAGTTAAGAAACACAGGGCAAGATAGTACGTATAAACCCGAAACCCAACTTCCTCAAAACCTCCAAGAGGACGAATCTCCCTCTACAAACATTAAGCTGGACTGAATAAAACAGAAGAGAAAACAACAAAGAATCTGAAACACATCGTAAGAATAAACATCTATATAAAATTTCTGAGGAGGAAGATAAAGATAAGTCTCCCAACCCACAAGTTGGTTTAATCATTTCATCCAAGCCGCAGAATCTTTTTAAGGCCCAAACTCCAAAAAAGCATTAACAACACTCAACGTCCAGGATAAAACAGTTAAGGGATCAATTTCTCACTCTCTAAACATTAAAAACAGGAACAAATAAATCCGGACCTCAGGGAGCAGTCTGATAGAATCTAAGATATAGAGGGCCTTACCCCCACTAGAGCGTCTGAAACTCTATATACCACAAAGAGATAATTTTTTATCTGTATGACTCAATCTGGATAAAAAACAAAGAATACAGAAGAAGAAATCCTGCGACTGTAGTATTAGTATCAAGAAGAAATATCATAAACCTAAAATCAAAGTAGACTCTAGAAATCCAAAGGATTAATTCAACCCTCAAATGCAGAAATTAGTTAGCAAGAATAGAGAAGAAATATCCAGAGGGAGATAAAACACACCCAAACCCGAAAGATCTCCACCCCTTATGTCTTTTAAAAAAAGTGAGCATAGATTAAAATAATGATTTTATTTTCTCTGATCCTCTGAATCATTCCACCCCAATAAATATATCGATCCCAAAAGGATAACTGCCTGCTTTTAGGTAAATTCACTAAACAGACAATGAAGCCCAAAATTCCGAATAGTAATGGTAAAGAAGCTAGAAGGAACAACTCCACTGCAAGTTCTATTATGGGCTGGAAGGATAAAATATCAATTAACTCCCCCCAAGTCAATTAAACGAACGTAGATCCAAACTGCGACGGGAACCCCCACCCAAGGATAGTTAAGACCCCTGACCCAACAGAACTGATTCAAATAGGACAGCAAGGGACTCAGACAGGAGCAGCCGCCTGGACTGAATATTAAAGGGGGCGAGTAGCTTCTCTGTCATACAATCAGAGTCAGTAACCTATCTCTGACTGGAATGAGACTAAAGTAGGAAGAAGCCGGACCACCGGAGCTCTCAACTCACCATCCCACCCCCCCCCCCCCAAAAAGGCCCAATTCGGGCCCTCCCCCTCAAAAATTCCTAAAAGTTTGGAAACATGACCAAACAAGAAGGGACCCGCCAAAAAACCAGAGGTGAACCAAACAAAGGGAACACCCCCCAAACCAGAACAGGGAAGAAAGTGTCTGAACCCCAAGACTAAACTCATTCCTGATAAGGTAAAAGAAACTTTCTGAGATCATATTTAGCAACTAATAGCATCAATAACAGCCGATCCAAGACTAATCAGAATAAGAATAAATTAAAAGGGCAGTAGTCTCCTGAGAACGCCCCCCAGCAGCCCCAACTAATCATACAATCCGAAAATACTCCCCAACAAACTATCAGAGGAACCGAGAAATTATGAACCACACCCAACCAACCACAGGCAAGCCGCCAAGATACCCCATGAAACCGAGGGTCAGTGCAAAAGGTACAAAATAATCTCCCCCCAGACTACCAGCTGAGTATGATATTAAAGAAACTGACCCAAAGCATAGAACCCAGAGACAAAGTAGGGGTGGCACATAAGGAATAATGTGAGCAGAAGATCTTTCCCTATGACAAAATAGATATATGAAATCGAGGGTTTCATGTTTTCTAACATATAAACAAAGGAATAAGGACAGATAATATCTTGAATCTGTGCTGAGTTCATGGAGTATAATAAGTCGTACAATAACTTCACTTTTGTCCGTATCTATGACTATAGAGGATGCTATAACAGGCGTCTCCTTATTCGCCACAGGAGGATGTAGAAGGTTAAGTGGTATTCATAACCCCTTTCATGCATAAAGGAGTATAAGCCTATAAAATGAATACATTCCCCTATTGACCTAAAGACATGTCCTATAAAGGAGTCTTACACCACCATAGAGTTATGACGTTCTTCTGAAAAATGAGGAGAGAATAAATACATGATAATTTTACCAATGATATGGTTTTTATATGAGTTTTAAGTGTAGTGTTATATGGACATATAGGCCATAATAGAAAAGTTTCCTCCCTTAATAATAAGTCAAATAGTCTTATGAGCCTATTGTGTGTTATTCCACGTGATTAATTAACCCGAATTTTCGAAAGGATTCGTGAGTTGTTGTGTGGATCATCTCAATAAACAGGGAATTCTTTATGTTTCGATACATTATCATAATATACATTTACCCGCCAGGTGGCAAAGGAATAACTGTTTAAATAGCTGGATACAGAATGTTTTGGCTTATAGGATATTTTTTTTGCTATATAGCATATCCTGAGGGATGATATAAAAGAAGCTGTCGTGACCTGCTAAGCAGTAAATAAGCAGAAGGATATAATATAGCGGGGAAGCATCATATAATGGTTAGGAATTTACTGATAGAACATAGTGTATATTATAAGAGAAGCAGACCGAAAACACAACAGAACAAGGGAACGGAAGAAGGAAAAAAAGGAATATAGAATTTGCACCATAATAAAATAGATTAAGCGATACGCGCCCATAAATGGGAAAAACTAGTGTAAACCAGGAGACAGGGTAACAACACAGGCAAAAACAACTAGGGAGGGGTACCGAGAAGAGCCGAAAGGGAAAACTATAGACACTGAAACAGGTTTGACTAGGCATATGAAGAAATAGGAGGTATAGAAAAAGAAATCAAAGGAGAATCTTTAGAATGATCAGTATACAGTAATTAATAAAAAAGGAAGGAACAGGGGACAAAGCAACAGGAGGAAACAAAAAGGAAGAAGAATGAAAAGAAGGGCAGAAGAAGAATATCTGAATTTTACCAAAAGTATGCCTCTACAAGAATAAACAATATGAGGAATATACAATCATATATTATGACATGCCAAAGAACTAGAAGCAGTACGCTGCCAGGAAGGGACAAGCAGACAAATGCGCAAGGGGGAATTAATCTTACAGATTCATCCGTGGGGAAAAATCAAGATATCTTTGCCTGGAAGCCACCAAGTGGGCGGGAAAACAATACGATCATTAGGATTATATATTATTAAAAGACTAAACAGGAGCCCAAGAGAAACAACCAATGAGAGTAAGGAGGATCTAACAATAATACTAATATATATAAACGAGGGAAATGAAGCACCCAAAATCCCAGGAAAACTGGGATGAATAAGAATAGGTATATATAACAGAACCAGTTATGACAAAATCCCTAAAAGCTATATGGAGAACTTATAAAGTATAAAATTAATAAGCAAGAATACCTACCAATAAAAGGGAAGACCATGATAAGAAACGCAACAGAGAAAACCGGACTGCCCACTAGAGAGTGATATGGAAGTATCTCTATATAGAAGGGGAATAGTAACTGAAGCCGATAAAATAATTCATGAGGCTAAGAAGGAACCCATCGCCTATATAATATAGAAAGAGAACCAACTTCAACGGAAACTGGAGTACCGGAATAACAACCAAAGGCCAGGAACTCATAAGAAATAGAAACAGTTAGATAGAGATAAGTGGGGAAGGACAACCAACGAGGACTTAATAGGAACAGTGGGAAAGATGAGAAATAATGAAAGTATTTGTGACACAACCAACTTCAATAAGGAACTAACAAGGAAACACCAAAGGTCAGAAGGAAAACTAATCCACCCAACACCAGAACCAGAACAAATTCCTAACCATGAAACCACCACATCCTAAAAGGTACTGGGTTAGCATTAGAGAAAGGGCATATACGAGAACTGACCCCAGTAGAATTGAAGCTACCGGGCAAAATGATTGAGGAAACAACCCAAGGGGAGCCAAAGGAAGCCTGAAATGGGAAGAAACAGCAGAACAAGGAAGGACAAAAAACAGAAATAAAAGGAGCAGTAGAGCCAGGAAATTATGAAAGAAGACGAACCTATAGCCCCCGATCATATAACATAGGAGAGATTTGGCAAATTAATGAACAGAGCAAAGCAAACAACCCCCCCCGAAGCCTCAGAGAACGAAGCTTTAGAGACAAATATATAGAAAAAATGCCAATAACACGGAAATATATTAACAACAGAGAAGATAGCACTACGTCCAAGAATAATAAAATAAGTCCCCCACATCAGGAAGGCCGAGGAATCCCGTACCACTCCAACAAGACTCCAACAAAGTATCAAGAAACCCAAGAAAAGACTAATAAAATAACCCTGAGATAGAAGATAAATAAAGGTTTAAGGAAGCAGTTAAGGGAGGATATCAATAAGCTTCTGTCTGTATAATCCCTAAACCAGCTTATCCTAGTCCATCTTAGGAACTCCTAGAACAGGAAAAAGTAACGAATAAGAAGTAACATCCACTCAAATATCTCAACAAATGCTTAGCGGGGCCCTCCATTAAAAGCGCAGGGACGGAACTCCGACTAAGCAGAAGTGGCAGAAGAAATAAGGAAAGCGGGGACAATAAAGTCAAGTAACCCCCCAGACTTAGAAGTTGAGGAAAGGAAGGATAAGGAAGGACAGGCCAAAGAATTCAGGAAGCATTTAAATGAAGAATCAATCCAAGCCGTAACAGAAGAGTAGGACAGAGACAGTGGGTTCCATAAATCAATAACCAAGAGAAAACGGTAAGGGAAACAACCCAAGGAATAATAAAAGAAAACACGAGAACCACACCAAATGCAAGAAAATAAGAGGCAAAGAGGAAAAAAATATAGAAGGGCAATTTAGGAATCCCCTGCTTTCAATTTCTCTAAACCCTGAACCTAAAGAGATATCTTCACATATAAAAGATCGGAGGCGGAACGTAGCTCAAAAGCGGCCACCTCATCAGTATCCTCTCAGGGAACAAAAGGCCAATACACAACTGGGGGATTCTCAATCTGAAACCCCCCACTTGGGACGGAAGAAATCTTGAGCGAGCTTCCTAATCCTAGTCTGATGAAACCTCCCACACATCTCAACATCAAACACTCCCACTAACTCCAACCCTAGTCCAAGCTAAAGAATGAGAAAAAGTATATCAAATAGGAAAGATTGGTCTTCGTCTCAGAGAAAGTGACGCCCCTGTAGCACCCCCAACGCCAAATCAAGAAGAAGTAGTCTTCCGCATACCAGGAAGGATTCCAAATTGACCCAGTAAATCTCTCATAAACGAGCAAGCCCCAAGCCAAACTTTATCAAGGAACAAGCCGAACATATCCTAATTAACCAGGAACCTCTATCGAGGGATAAACAAAAGGGCACGTATAAGAGCTAGTTAACCTAACCTAATGGCCCATTCAGATAAGAATAAAGAAGAAATCTCCCTTAACTAAAAAAGGACAACCGATTAAGAGGAATAAGTGAGGATAACTAATCACGATAGGGACAAACAACGGGAGGCAAGCATCCTCCATTAAGCGGGGGCATTCAAGGAATCTCAGGAAAAAAAATAAAGACTCGTGGAACGGTATAAAAAATCCCAGGGGACAATTACGCAAACTACCGAGGGAGGAGGATAAGAATTAAGTCATAAAAATTCACGAATTCCGAAGGATCCGACAGTCACCAACACGTCTCACCCCCTATTTTCTCCTGAGGACCCCAGCGTAGACACATAGCGCGCCCAACCCGAATCAGTAAGGAGTCTGTCATTCGAGAAGAGAATGAGAAGCCAAATCTAAAAGGAGCAGCCCATATAAGGCAGAATAGGATAATAAGAGAAAATAATAAATCCACAACAGACAGAAGGAAGGGGAAAATAAGGAGTTCCCCCTACCGCTGCCTCAAGACAGGAAGCCATTGAAACTCCAACTCTACACCCTCTTTTAAAATCCACGCAAAGTATAATAGAGAAACCACGGTAACCCCAGACCACGCTACATCACCAATATCAATTAAGAGGGAGAAAATGACGAATAGAAAGAAGAATTCAAAGACTAAATCAATAAAGATAAATCGCATAAGCATTCTCTCTTGAGCAACCTGAGGAAGCAGGAAGAGAGAAGAATACGAACCCGAAAGGATAGGGGAGCAACTTAGATGATCACCTCTTGAGCCAAACCCACATTAACAGAGGAGGGACACAGTACAACAAAAGGGTTTAGTAGGAAAGATGAAGAATGGGCAGATTAAAGGGAACACAGCCCGGGGTTTTTTTAGTAGGAGCACTCAGCCAGGGGAATAAGGGATAGTAGATAAAGAAAGGACTTGAGCGAAGAAATAGTCGGCTTAATCGGGCTCTTACTAAAGGAGCCTCGGAAGAAGCAATCCCACAGTCTTATAACACAGAAAAAGCACAGACCTAGACGTTTTAATCGATGAACAGAATCCAATTGCCAAGACAAAATAAGCGGGCGAAGGACGGCTGAATACGGCAAGGACAAGGAGCCTTAAATTTCAGTAAAAGTCTCCAAAGTTGAAGATCCCGGATAGAGGGAACAGATTCTCTCACGGGAGCGCAAGGACCCCCCCGACCAAAGGCGTGAACTAACACCTCACACAGAGAGGGAAACAAGAAGAGTTGGATCTCAGGATATTGGGCCAGGAAATACATCAGAGAATCCAAGAAACAGAGGATACCGCAGCAGATAAACAGGCAAGGAAGAGTAGCTAAACCCTTCATCCAAATATCTTCACAAGATGAGTGTTACAGATAAACCCCCGGCAACTCTACCTCATATAGATCAACACGTAGGAGTCCGGGCCGCTACGGGGACAAGGGGAACCATCAAGGACAATCTGCTCAAAGAAGGAAAAAGTCGGATTTTATAAAAAACACAGAGGGAAAGGGAGGACGGGGTCACCGACACCATTCAAAAAGCTCTACGTATCCGACCTCCGGAGTAAGATTAGATAGTGAATCTAAGAGTCGATAAAGACCCGGACGACTAGACAGATCATGAAGGCTTGCTAACAACACAAGCCAAACAACTTCTAAGAAGAAAAGGCATAAGAGAAGAAAGCAAGTGTAGAGCAACGACACCTGAGTAGGGACAAAATCTCAGTTCCTAAGATGCAGGCAAATAAGTTCCAAGAGTCCAATAATTCCCAAAGGAGTCAAATTAAAACGGGAAAAGCAGAGTGACCTCCGAAACAACGGAGGGAAATCCGTGTCACCAACTCCAGGAGCCTGAACATCTGGACAGGTATGAAGCCGTAAAGTCTCAGAAAAGGACCTTAGGGAGGATCCCAAGCTAGACGACTCCGCCAAAATAAGCAGCAGGGCTTAAGATTCAAATATCGTCCTAATAGAGAAAGGCCGCCCAGGGTAAAGTGACAGCTCAGATTAACAACTGGGGGGAAGTTCCTAAAGGAAGGAGGATATCATCAAATCCTCCCACGGAAGCAGTAGTATAAGACCTCAGAGGCAGACGAGGGCCGGATACGGAACAGCAGAAGGGCAAACCTGGAAGAGATCCCGTTAAAAAGGAACAAGGAGGCTAACTTACGATAGAGAGCAACAGACCGAGCAATAATTTAGTCCTTTTAACAGGAGCCTGAACTAAGATACAAGAATCCCTGCTGAGACAAATTACAGTAAAAGGGAACAGAAGGGTCCCGGATGGACCCCTATCTAAAATCCCAGGAAGGATTTCAGTTAAGAAACGAGTGAAGTGATAGACGGCGGATTATGACGAGCTCAAATTAAGAGTCAGGGATAGAACAGTGGCGTGCACAGAGGAAGAGAAGATTCCATCGAGAAAAGAAAGAGCAAAGAGGCGGAGGACAAGAGTCGGAGGGAGCAAAAGAAGTGGAGCTAATGGACACGGGACTCAATCAAGAAATCGGCCTCGCACGAGGGAAGCAAAGGGAGAGGAAAGAAGCAGAATAATAGTGAGCTAGGAGAACCAACTCTCCAATATCTCCGGCGTACGTGGCAGCCACCAAGAATCCAGGGCAGTAGGCGAACAAGAAGGAGAAAAGCGAAGGCTCCACATTCAGCAAGGAAGAGTAGATTGTCAACGAAGGCGAGTAAATCGCGTGATGAGATACAAGAGCACGCTCCAGAGGGCCCCACAAAGCGGAAATCGTAAGGACTAGGGCATGGATATTAATATCCTGAGATGTAAACCCCGTTTAAAGAAGGAGAAGGAAGGATAAAAGGCAAGGAGAGATAAAACCCAACACCTGAGTCAGTCAATGAGAAAGGAGGGAAACCTAAGGTAGTACTCAGCAGAAGTACAGGTTCCGTTAAAGAGTTCCTCCGTCAACTCGCAAAGTGAGCAGTAGGAGACAGGATCTTCTTCTAATAAGACACCTAGGTCACATCTTTCCTTGCAGAGGAGGAAACCATGACACTGAAGTTTACGGACTATATAGAGCAGAAGATCCTGGGCATCGGCCCCAGAGGAAAGTGTCCAAACTCCGACTCCAGCAGCAGGGAATTCTGTATCTTCGAGGCACCCAGAAACAATCAGGAGGCCAAATATCTAGCCCCGTACCAGGAAGGAAAAGTAGGGGGACAGAGCACACAGACCAGGGGGAATTTATGGTGGTATTCAAGGGGCATTTGTATAGGCTTAGAAGCCTGGTGGGCAGGTCTAAAGCAACAGCCAGATCAAGGAAAAACATATTACGGCGAATCCTGTAAGCCTAAGAAGGCACAGGCGAGGGCTATGGGAACAGCTACAGGCTCGGACTGTGAGATACCGAGTCAAAATTTGCAGTGGGCGCAATGGCATAAAAGGAGAGAGATAAGCACATGGAATCCCAGTGCGAGGTATTTAGGGGTCTGCATGGATATAGTCTCGATGATCTTGGAGAACTTTCAGATGTATACCCCAAAGCGGCCAAAGGAGGCCACGGGATTGAATACAGATCCTTGTCAGGCATTATATGAGTCCCTAGAGAAATGGGGGGGGGGAAGAAAGGGCTGCGCGTATAATGGAAGATTGGTTTCACAACCTGGAAAAGGAAACAACCCAATCCCTCGGAATCAATATCCAGGGGAAAGATCTGTATGAAGTAGTTACTGAGTTGTTCTACGGGGATGATCAGGGAGAGAAAAATGTATATTGCAAATTATTACCAAGAGGTGACCAAGCCTCTCAGGACTCAGGAGGAAAGTATAAATTAGAAGTCCAGAAGGGTTATGAGTTCAAGACATGCAGCGCAGGTGCAGATGCTTGTGAGCAGCTAGAAGAATACAAAAACTCCGTAGCTGAGTCGCTTCATGAAGGAGGAGTTCCTGATAGCTTAATATCTTCAGCAACATCCACCAGTTCTTATGCAGGGAGCTTTTCAAGGGCGGACGCGGGAAACGGGCAACGGAATTCCGGAGTCTCAGCCAATGAGGATGATATGAGTGAGCATTAGGCCCCAGGAGGGAGTTCATCCCAGGACCGCGTGAACGGGGGGGTCGGCTTTGAATTGGGCAAGATTATGGGTGGCGTCGGCGGGTTATTGGGGAGTCTTTGTTCACTGTATGGAGTATATCGTATAATTAGAGGAGGAAGGACATCACATCCTGGAGGGGGAGCACCAGGCAGCCCGGGATACGGTGTTGGATACAGGACAAATTAGAATGGGAGACTCTTTTCTCCTCGGTAGGAACTCTGCTTGATTTGATCTTAGGATCCTCCGTCTATTGTTCAAGGTTTAAGTTTAGGTTTAGTTTTCACATCCACGTTCTGTGGTTCAGGTTCTGGGGGTTTGCGTTTAGTGGCTAGCTTTTGTTTTTGGGTTCAAGGCTTAGGTTCTAGGATTCAGGTTTACGTTTAGCTCTTAGGGTTCATGTTTAGGGTTTAGTTCTAACTGTTCTACCCTCTAGGCGGTTACGGTTTCGAGCTTAGGGCTTCGTGTTTAGGGTTACCGTTCCTGGTTGAGTTTTTATGTTTAGGGTGTACGATTCCTGGGTTAGTGTCTATGGTTTAGGGATCTATGTTTTACGCGTTGTGTCAGGGTTTACCTTTTACTTTCTACGATTTATCCTTCACGGTTCTACGGTTTATGGTTTAGGATTTACCTTTTACGGTTCATGATTCACGGTTTATCTTCTATCCTTTAGGTCATACTCCCTAGGCCTTAGCCTCTAGCGTTCCTGTTGCATATGCTTCGGCTTCTTCTTCAGGCTCTATGGCTCATGATTCAGGGCGTAGGATTTACTTTTGACGAGTTTAAGGCCGAGGGAGGCTGTGTTAGCGTTTAGAGTTCTGGGTTTAGGGTTTACGCTTTCGAGTTTCTGATATCGGCTCTGCTGCTCGACCTTTAGAGGTTAGCTTCAGGCCTTAGGTTCTAGGGCTTCGTTGTCATGGGTTAGGTTTTAGGCTTTACCTCTTACCGTTCTCTTCCTCCATCTTAGGCTTTCGAGTTAAGCCTCTATTGTCTAAGAGGTAGTTCTCAGGGATTAGGTTTCCGGATTCAAGCGCATATGGGTCACGTTTTACACTTCAAGATTTAGGGTTTAGCGTTGTTTGTCCATGGTTTATGGTACTGGGTGTATGAGTAGGGTTTAGGGTTAGGGTTGAGTTGTTACTCTTGAGGTCTCAGGGTTCATGGTTTAGGGTTCAGTATCTAGGTCTCAGGTTTACGGTTTAGGGTTCACCCTTAACGGGTCACTTCTTTTCCTTTAGAGTTACCCTAAGTATCTAGGATTTAGGGCTTATTGTTCATGCTTTAGTTCTTATTCCTTAGGGGTCAGTTTTTCGGAGCCGCGGTTAACGTTTCTCCTCGAGGAATCCTGCCCTTAGGCATGAGCTATTACCATCTAGTTCCTATCATCTAGGTGAGCTGGTATCTTTCTCCGATGCTGCATTTATCGTATAGTTGTATTGCCTTATTGTTTATTGCTCAATTATGCAATTCACTCCCCACTGTTAGGGGGAGTCATTCATCCCTTATGGGGCCTTTTTTTTATTCTATCGGTTTCTTCCGAGGTTTCAGGCTATAACGTCTCGGATTGGGGTGTAGGGGGCACTTCCCACTTCTTTAGTGTCCACTAGCTATGGGTTGGTACTCAGTGGGTACTGTTTCGGACTATTCCCTTTTTGACTTTCGGAGATTGACGGGATTTGGTTTTCTGAATCTCTCAGGGCGGAATTATCTCCGGTTCAGTTCTTGGAGTTTATACTTCTGACTTCATCAGGTGGCTTTCTTGAATTTAGGGAGGCGTTCTCAGATCTTAGGTGTTTATGGCTCACTTGTCTAGTACTAGTGATTCCTGTTTAACTCTAGTCTTCATATTTCGGGCCTCAGTTGGCTGTTTACGGCTCAGGAAATACTCGTTAGGCTTTAGGGGGTAGAGTCTGGGTGTTCTGTTTTCAGGCTGTATCCTTCGGGTCGCGGCTGCAGCTGCTACCTTCTACGGTCTGGGGCGTCTTTGCGTTCTTAGGGCTGGTTTCCTATTCTTACGCCTTCGTGTTGAGCCTTGATTGTGGGATGTCTGTCCTTTCAGATGAGGGACTCCTATTTTCACTCTTATGCTTACCCCTGCTTTATTTCTGGAGTTGCTGGTTGGACTTCTTATCTAGGTGGTGGAGATTCTAATGTTCACGCTTCGGTACCTTCTTCTTTTGTCAGCTAGTTGGACTCCATCGTTTCCTCTTCTCTTCTCCTCCTTGAGATCCTGCACATTCTACTTCTAAGATCTCCAGGGTTTCATCTTGAGATGTGATGATTGATGAACTATGTTCTTACCTCAGATTCGATCACTCATTTTATACTCTTAGTCCCCCCTGGGTTGTTGCTGCGCTGTGCGTTGTATGGTGCTCGTGCGATTTTTCGACCATAGAAGGGGGCTGTTGGTAGGTTGTTTTTCTTATCATGGTGTAGTTTGTAGTTCGGAATCTGTAGGCTTAGTGCGTAGTCTTCAGCTCCTCTGGGGTGAGTTCGTAGGTTTTTATTCATAGCAGTTGTTTTTCCAGGGTATATATTTTAGTGGTCAGGCGGCAGGCGTTTTCTCTTAATATTTAACTGCCATCTTCTGAAGTTTACGGTTTAGTTGTTAGGGCGTTGTCTTTAGGGTCTACTCGTATAGCGCCTAGCAACCATTTGCCAGTTTGATCACTTGAGTTCTCTGCCAACCTTTATCGGTTATGACTTATGTTAGAGGTGTATTTTCATGTCATGCTCTCTGGTTTCGGATTCAGTAAACGCGTTTTATTCTAAGCCCCGGGGCGGGACTTTTGCGGTTTTACCTGTTGGATTTTATCATTTAGGCCCCTGTACTGTGTTCCGTACGGATGATATCCTGTTTGTAGTTTCTGCGGTGGGAGTCAGTTGATTCATGATTTTCCCCGGGATTGGTTGTTCGGACCCAGCGATTAGTTTCTAGTTCATATGCCTGGATTCTATACCTTAGGACCTATGTTAGGTGATTTCGCCTTGCTGATTTATATCTGTTTTCCAATCATGGATCTTGAGTGGTTTGGATTGCGATCTCGTGGCTCTAAGGGAGCACTTATACTTCGTAGTTTGGCGAACTCAAGGCTATCGGGCGCCTATATCTGTAGGTTGTATGGGTTATCCTCATGTATTTTCATTGGATTCTTTGTTGCTAGTGACTAGGGCTAGCTTTATGCTTCCGATTTCTCCTTTAGTGTCTACTGCTCTCTGATTATTCTTTCTCCTATACTGGCTGGCTTGTTGGATCCGCTTCCTCTCTCGTACCTGCCATGCCCAAGTTATATCCTCCTGAATCTGGGGGTTCACGTCCTTCTCTGTAAGGGTTATAATTTCGAGACTTCCCCTCTTCACTAAGCCCCAATGCTTTAGGGGTTTCGCTTCAGCTTCGACGCGTAATGTTTACCTTTAGCCTACATGTTTAGCGTGCAATCCTTTTTCTTTAAGTCCTGAGTCTATTCTTTAGGAGAGGACTCTTCATTGTCTGTTGTGTCCATTCCTTCGTTCTTGTGGTTGCAGGTATTGTCATCTTCTTAGGTATCATTTTTTAGGCTGCTTCCTTTAGCTTCCAATGATTAACTTTCTGATAACTGATCCCGGATTTGTCGTTTCAGCTTTTTCCTTCTTGTGTTAATTCCTAGGTTGCGATGTTTATTGGCCTTCAAGTAGGGCTTATGGCTTACTGATGATGAAGTGAGACTGATGTTTTAGGCATTTTGTTCCACAGCCAATGGTTAGGCTTAGAGATTAGAGGTGTATATTGCAGAAGTAGGTTGTCATTCCCTGCTCCTTCCCTCTATTATATGGTTCTTATGGCGTACTCCTTAAGCTGCGCCGTTGCCTTTCTTTCTGAGGCTCTAGTTTGCTCCCATTATTTCTTAGGCTTGGTCTCCATTTGTCACCCTCCTGTCCTGCTCAGGTTGCTGTAATCTCGATGGCTGGGATTCTATGGAGTTTTGTTAAAGTGTACATTCCTTTCTATAGGTCCTACCTCTATTCCTTGGCTTCTAGTCTTCTAGTGTACGCAGTTATGTTGCAGGGTGTAAGCACTTGCCTCACCCGGGTTTTACTCATGGAATTGCGCTGTTGGCTTATGGTGTTCTGGGGCTTCGTCATGTTTTATTGTTCACTCCTTATTCTTTAATGTTCAGGATTAATGCTTTACTCTTTATCTTGCTGGTTCCACTCTTGAGTGTAGTGGTCAGGCTTTATCTTCTATGTTTACGCCTCCAGGTTTCTGTTTATGGAGGGGGGGTTGTTTTTATTTCTTAGCGTTTATTAGTATTTTCCGATAAGTTATTTTAGGCGGGTAAGATTCACTGATTATGCGCCCTCTGTACTCTGATCATGCTTAGGTTTTTAGGATTTAGGGTGTAGTTTCTGGCTTGTATGTTTTGGGCCCTAGGTTGTATATTTTATGGCTCAGTCTCTATGGTCTATCAGTGAGGCCTTTGGCTTAGCGTGTACTGGCACTCTCCAGTCTTTATTCCTACGGTTAATTCTTCACATTTGCCTCCTTATCTCTGCTGCTTGTCTTTATTTCTTATCTCCTTAGGCTTAGGAGCATTTGCCATATCTTGACGGTTTACGGCTCAGATTCCATGGTCGCGGATTCATTTTTACTGTTTAGGACTGATCGGATACCTTTATTGTTTGTCTGTGTTTGATGAAATGTAGGGTCGTCCTTGCATGTCCTAGGTTTAGGGTCTATACTGTTTTTGTATTGTACACTGGTGACCTTTATCTGCTATGGTTCATTCTGCAAGGTGGTTTTGTGTATTTCTTCCTATTATTCTTCAGGGTATCCCCCCGAAGGTTTCTGCCTTATGCATCACGTGTAGTTGTTACAGGTAGTAATTTGGGGCGCCATCTTGTATTGCTTGTTTTTTAGTTTTTAAGGTCTTGATATGTGTTGTATTACTTGGTTTTCAAGATCGAGTCTTTGGGGTCTAGGATTTAGATTGCAAGCTCTATGC